TGGATCTAACAAAACACTTCCAACAACTGCTTGATGACCATTGGACTTTCCTCAACGCTGGATGGCCAACAATTACACCACGTAATAATCATCGTACTGTAAGCAAGGAAATTGGGTATATGCCAGAAATAAAAGAAACCCTAAATCGACGCCTTGGTCCTATTCCAGTGTACTTCTTTCTTGTTGACATCTGGCCAAAGGTTAAGTATCCTGGTCCATACAAAGAAGTGGAGAAAGGTCTTTTAATGCTCTATCATCTTGTCAAAGGACTGTCTATGGAAGCAATGGAACCACACATGCCAAAAAGTAGTTTTCATGCAATGCACTCTGTGTTTTATAAGAAAGAATATACTTTGCACAATAAGTACATCACCAACTGTATTGCAACAATGTTCTCCACAATTAAAATACGCCTATTGTCTGCAAAGGAAAAGAATCCTCCATTATTTAAGCATGTTACATTGCATCTTGATGGTCATGATACAAGCGGCCCCTTCATGTGCAGAGGATATAAAAAGGCATATAAAAAATATCCAAAGTCCAAGGAACGGAGTGTTGACTTCCATAACTGGCATATCTCTTCATAGTGGGCAACAGAACACAGAATAAAATAGCAATAGACAGCACAAGAATTTTTAAAATGTAATCTCTCCCCTGTATTTCACGACAAAGATACAGTTGGGAATACAAGTGCTTTAGATGATCACATACAAGAACTACTCTGTCGAATCTTGCAGTGAGGGTTACAGGTTAATAGTAGATGGACATATTCAAGAGTTTGGTGTGCGAAAAATAAGAAGACTTTGTTGTTTGGAGAATGTAGTTGTGTTTAGTAGGATAATCGCGCAAGGAATGTTACAGTGGTTGTTTTAAATGGTTGATATCATACATACACTCTCCTCTAATGGACGCGGTGGATATCGTCAAGATCTGCAGAGATGTAACAAACACCATATGATAATTTGGACTTGAAAGGCCTCCCAAGAGCAACATACAAAGGTGAGAGCAGTGCTGATATGTACTCTTACAAGCTGAAAAAGTCAGGGTTACGCACACAGGTAGCAATGGATTGTAATGGCATGGCCTTATTTGTCTCCAAATCTGCATCTTGCAAGAACAATGCTGATGGAACAATGCTGCTAACGATGAAGTTGGACAAGAGAGTGCATGAGATGGATTGCATTGCTCTCGATGGAGGGTATCCACAGTTCTTAAGGAGGCTTATAGATGAGTCTGATACTCTTAAAGTCCAAAATTTCGCTCATCCATACCGTAAACAGAAGAACAAGGAACTTACACAGGAAGAAGCGTTATACAATACCACCTTTGGTAGTTTCCGCTCGCAGATGGAATCTCTGTTTGCAGACCTTGGTTCCACATTTGAGAAACACAACAACCGTACTCCTGTGTTGGTGGATAAGAAACAAACATATAATTTGCAGTTGAAGTTATCTTTGTTACTCTTAAACATGAAAAAGATGGTTGCTTTGTTGAAGATTTCTGCAGAACCAATTCATACAGCTTGGCTTCGCGAAGGATTCGAGTATCCGACGACAGAGAACGATGTTGAGCAACCAATGGGATATGTTGATGTTGGTGCACTAGTGGAGGATGGAAATACAATGGCACAACTCCAGAACGAATTTCTTGGTCTTGAACTTCATGATAATGTTGATGAGGACCAGTACTCTGATGAGGACACACCAATGGATCCACCAGTAATACTGCAACCCGGCCTTTCCATTGCGCTTTGAGGTACGTAGTACGAAGCGACAAATGGATGTTAATGGTAATTTGTAGACTTATTGCAGGTTTTTAAAAGAATAGACATACATAGCCTATTTAGTCAGCGTTGAGATACGGTATTAACTGCCAAGACGCTAATATGCACCGGTATCTATTATTAAAAGTCATGGTATTATTGTAGTAGATCGGATGCTATTCTATGCTATTCTACAACATTCCTTTTTATTTAACAAAGAGGATAAACACATGTACAAACCTACGTCATAAAAGAATACATAAACACATGTACAAACCTACGTCATAAAAGAATACTACATTCTTAACCATTTTTAAACCCCGTCTTTAACGCCAAGCAGTCTTAATAAGCAAGATCTACGTCATACGAGGAACACTACGTTATTAACCACTTAGATGCCTTTTTAAAACTCTTTTGTTACTAAGCGCCAAGCAGTGCTAATAAGCAAGCGCTATTAATGTCCATTGTGGCAGTGTTCCTGAATTAGTATAAATAAAGGAGTCCACTTCCCTCTTGCTTAATCTTTATCTAGTAACCAACCAACAATTATCCATATCTATACAACCATCCATACCTATACAACCATCTTTTATTGCAATTCTTTATATCAGTGTACTAAGCAGCTGCAATCTACCACACATAAACTGAAAACTCATTCACACCCACCATACCACAAGTACAATCCATATTATTCATATCCAAAAACATGAAGTACGTTCAGCTTACAATCGAGCTCATCACCAAGGCCTTTGAGACATTCTCCTCTAAGAAGGGAGTGGAGTTTAACAAGAAGGATGCAAATAAGATCTTTAAGGCGCTTGATGAGGATGAGGAAGTAGAGAGATACTACTTTTGTGGAGAAAAGTGCACCAAGTCCAAGCGCAAATGCATGAAGGAAGTTGATGATGAAGGCATGCATTGTTATGTCCACGATCCTGCGCGCAAGTGTCAAGGCACAACTATTAAGGGTGCTAATTGTGGTAGTGTAGCCAAACTTGGTCAAACATACTGTGGACGTCATCAAGATCAAGATAGAGGTTATATAAAACGTAGTAACAACAACGCACCTGTCGACAAGCGTACTAAGTCTTCCAAGGCTTTAAAGAAGACACATACTTCTAAGTTTGTGTCTTCCGATGACGATATGACTTCCGAGGATGAAGAACCAAAGAAGCGAAAGAGAAACAAGCAGGAGTCATCGGATGAAGAGCCGTCCGATGATGATGATGAAGAAGATATAATTGCCGTCTCCTTTCCGTTGAGTCCAAAGGTAGTTGACATAACGTCCAAGAAAAATGTACCACTCGCTAATACATGTATATGGACGCGTTATGCAACTAATCCAGCTTTCCTGTATGCAAAAAGCTTTACTGTAAATGGCAAGTACATTATTAGGCTAAAGGAAAAGAATCTCTACATTGCATTGTGTCCACCTAAGCTCATGGGCAAGAATCTCCCTGCGCCAGAAATATCTGAGAAAGAGGCACGCATATTGGCCAAGATGGGTCTTCAAGAGGCAACTTCAGCAGATGTAGAAAAAATAGAAGAGTCTTCTGCTGATGAGAATTCTGACGATGATACAGATGATGGTGATACGTCTGATAATGCTGACTCTGAGGATGATTCCTCTAAAGATAAAGACTCTGATGATGGCAAGTCCAATAACAGACCTGATGTAGAATCTGGAGATGATACCTCTAAGGATAACCCTGATGAAAAACTATCTCATAAAAAGCCATCTAAGGATGATGAGAAGAAGACTTCTCGAAAGAAAAGGCATTCAGAGATGCCCAAAAATGCAGAGCCATCTTCTAATGTAGATGTTGTCGCATATTTGCCTGTCTCGGGGGTGTCAGCTAATGTAATTAGGCTAGAGACAGTAATTTAGTCATATGACCAGACACCGACATAAATGGAGGTGTCTGGGCTGTTAACAAAGATCCCTCTCTTGTCTTATCAATTCGATTGTGCGTGACTAGCGTAAAAAGTTTCATTTTTTTTGATAAATACAACACGGATCGGGATCAGAATCCGTCGAACGATTGACAGGATCCATCCACTCATTTATTTATTCATTCAACCCATTACGAGGAACACTCCATCAATCTACAGGAGCGATTCAGGACGTAACGGGAGCATTTACGGATCATTACAGAACAGGACCTTTACTGTCAGGATTTTCCTCTATTTTCAGGATAATCCAACAAGGACAGGATCCTTTTCTTTTATTTGTGGTCATTTCGTGCGTGTATCTGGTCACTAGTGACAAGGTTACAGCAGAGACTGATCATTAATACGAAGTGTAACAGGCGGTTACTTTCGTTGTTATTATTTGGTTACTATTCTACCTTTTTGTGTTGGAGCTTTCAAGTGCGATCATACATCTGTGTGGTCATTTGAGGTCTTCATATAACACGGTAGCAGAGATTCATTAGAAAACTCACCGTTAGTTTTGATCAAGGACATTCTTGTTCAAATAAACGCGGGATTCGTCTTTGTTGGCATTTAGGTGTGCCCTCATCCGAATTCATTTGCATCAGAAAACTTTTAGTTTTTTTCTGGGTGTTGTTTTTTATTTTTATTTTGAATCAAGTGGATCACTGAGCAAAAAGTACTGGAAGTTGACGTTAGTAGTAACAGTATTATTTTTTCTGGGGTGCAGTCTGGTTGATCATCAGTTTTCAAAAGCTCATTTCGTTTTCTGTTTATTCTGTTTGTCTGTTTGTTTTCTTTTCCTTTAATTGGGTCATAGAGAATGGCAGCGAATACGGCAAAGAAGAACGAGGACGTTGGCAGTAAGGTTGTTGGTGCTGCGATATATTAAGGTTTTATCATACGTACACAAGTAACTGATGAGACAAAGAGAGGGATTGTATTAGGCACACCAGGTACAGTCTATTATGCTGTCCCTGGTATGTAGCTTAAGGGTAGTCTAGTCTATTGTCTCCATCTATCTTAGGGTGCCATTAGGCGAATATGCGACAACTCCCTCCCAAGGGAAGGCTGAAAGCCGCCCTGGAAAGAAATCACGCATAGAGGCTTCATGGTTGAGGATTAAAAAAAAACAAAAGATCCTCCTGTGCAATGGAGTGCACAGACTAATTAATTTCAGACCAAAAAAGCAGTGTAAAAAGGTCTTGTGAAGGTAAAACCACAGGGGAAAAATATCTTCACATATGGTTCAAGAGGAAAGCAGGAAAAACCTCTTGCCATCATTCACTTCATTCTGTGATGCTATTTACGTTCGACCACGCTTGCGCGTGTCAGTAGTGCTGATCTCCTTACTACTCTCTTCGATCGTACTTCTTAACTGGCGCTTGCCACTGCGGTTTGCTGCTTGATCGGTGGCTCCGTTAGCATTATCTGCATCACCGCGCTTGCGCTTACGCCCTTGTTCGGCATCATTGGCAGTACTGTCCATGGGTTTATCTGCTGACAGACGTTTACCCTTGCGTTGCACCGAAGATCCCTTCTGACCTTCATTGCCAGATTCGTGTCTCTTCGACGTCCGACGAGGCTGCGGTAGAGAATTAGCAATTGGTTGATCGCGAGTCTTCCAATAGTCAGATATGCACTTTCTCTCAATAAAGTTCCTCTGAGGCTCCCAAGTCGATTCTTTGAATCCTTTCCATTTAACGCGATACACTACTCCCTCCCCAGGAATGTCCCTATGCGGCCCCTTCATGTGCAGAGGATATAAAAAGGCATATAAAAAATATCCAAAGTCCAAGGAACGGAGTGTTGACTTCCATAACTGGCATATCTCTTCATAGTGGGCAACAGAACACAGAATAAAATAGCAATAGACAGCACAAGAATTTTTAAAATGTAATCTCTCCCCTGTATTTCACGACAAAGATACAGTTGGGAATACAAGTGCTTTAGATGATCACATACAAGAACTACTCTGTCGAATCTTGCAGTGAGGGTTACAGGTTAATAGTAGATGGACATATTCAAGAGTTTGGTGTGCGAAAAATAAGAAGACTTTGTTGTTTGGAGAATAGGTTGGTGTTTAGTAGGATAGTTAAACAAAAAATGTTACAATGGTTGTCTTATATGCTTGGTATCATATATACATTCTCCTCTAATGGACGCGGTGGATATCGTCAAGATCTGCAGAGATGTAACAAACACCATATGATAATTTGGACTTGAAAGGCCTCCTAGGTGGAAGTGTCGAAGACATGTTACATTTTTAAAAAGTTCATGCTATATATACAACCACAAATGCCAACTGTTGACAATTGGATAGTTTTTAAAATATCTACTCTTCATCTGTCTCAACAACTACCAAAACTTTACATCTGGAGAGTACAACTTAGGCAATTCCTCGATCGTGAACCCCATGGCAATTAACTTCTGCTTTTGTTTGTTGTTGGTAAATTTGTCTCGACTATAGTTACTGTCACCGTTTGCAGGTATCTTATACAGCAGTCCAACAATAATGTCCTCTTCGTACCTCTTGAGCAGATGACATCCGTCGAAAAGGTAGTTGGTTGCATATTCATGCTTCTTGTCAAACGAACATGTTGTCCATTTAATTTCGTCTTTATCTATGACGATTATACCCGAGGAGCTTTTATCTTTAGGGTACCTTTTCCACATAACATCCTCAGCATCTTTATCATCCTCAGCATCTTTATCATCTTCAGCATCGTTATCACCCTCAGCATCTTTGTCATCCTCAGCATCGTTATCACCCTCAGCATCTTTGTCATCTTCAGCATCTTTATCACCCACCGCATCTTTGTCATCCTCAGCATCTTTATCGCCCTCAGCATCTTTATCATCCTCACATGTGCTCTCATCTTTCTGTGGCAAGCTTTGCTTATGCTCATGCGGTTTAAATCCCATAGCAAACAACTTCTCTTTTTCCTTCTGGCTAAGAGAATGACACTCTACATTCTCTGCAGCAATATGGTCATCAGTCATCAAGCCGATTACAGTGTCTTTTTTGCGCATCTTGAGAATGTGCATTCCATTTACAAGTACATTCTCGGAATATTCCAAGTACTTGTTAAGTTTTTTCCATATCACCTTGGATTTATCTGTTGGTCCTTCTACTGGTACTTCTTCTTCTACTTCGATCTCCTCGTTGAAAAGCGTCTTTCTCTCTTCATCAGACAATGGTTGAAGTTTCATCTTGCTAAGCATGGAGCGTTCCAAGATATCCAACTCTGGAACATCACCGACACCGCGCAGAGCATCAAGCGTAAACAGGCCAACGTATGTATTCTTTCCAGATAGCCTGACAATGTACTTGCCATTCATCGTAAACTTAGTTGCATACTCAAGCATGTCGTTATTAGGATGAATCATCCATCCTCTGTCCTTCGCACGTGCTATGTCTTTCTCTGATCTAATGTTATGCACCGTTGTGGCCAGTGCAAATGTATGTTCATCTTTTCCATCCTTAGAAACGTCTACATTAGAAGATGGCTCTGCATTTTTGGGCATCTCTGAATGCCTTTTCTTTCGAGAAGTCTTCTTCTCATCATCCTTAGATGACTTTTTATGAGATAGTTTTTCATCAGGGTTATCCTTAGAGGTATCATCTCCAGATTCTACATCAGGTCTGTTATTGGACTTGCCATCATCAGAGTCTTTATCATCAGGGGAATCATCGTCAGAGCCAGCATCATCAGACGTATCACCATCATCTGTATCATCGTCAGAATTCTCATCAGCAGAAGACTCTTCTATTTTTTCTACATCAGCAGGAGTTGCCTCTTGGAGTCCCATCTTTTGTAATATACGTACCTCTTTGTCAGATAATTTCGGTACAGGAAGATTTTTCCCCATGAGCTCAGGTGGACACAATACAATGTAGAGGTCCTTTTCCTTCAGCTTAATAATGTACTTGCCATTTACAGTATAGTTTTTTGCATACAGGAAAGCTGGATTAGTTGCATAACGCATCCATATGCCTGTATTAGCGAGTGGTACATTTTTCTTGGACGTTATGTCAACTACCTTTGGACTCAACGGAAAGGAGACGGCAATTATATCTTCTTCATCATCATCGGACGGCTCCTCATCCGATGACTCCTGCTTGTTTCTCTTTCGCTTCTTTGGTTCTTCATCCTCGGAAGTCATATCATCATCTGAAGGGACAAACTCAGGAGTATGTGTCTTCTTGGTTATCTTGGAAGACTTGGTACGCTTGTTGGCAGGTGCCTTATTGTTACTGCTTTTCATATGACCTTTATGCTGCTCTCGATGACGTCCACAGTATGTTTCACCAAGTTTGGCTACACTACCACAATTAGCGCCCTTAATGGTTGTGCCTTGACACTTGCGCGCAGGATCGTGGACATAACAATGCATGCCTTCATCATCAACTTCCTTCATGCATTTGCGCTTGGACTTGGTGCACTTTGCACCACAAAAGTAGTATCTCTCTACTCCCTCATCCTCATCAAGCGCCTTAAAGATCTTATTTGCATCTTTCTTGGTAAACTCCACTCCCTTCTTAGAAGAAAATGTCTCGAAGGCCTTGGTGATGAGCTCGATTGTAAGCTGAACGTACTGCATGTTTTTGGATATGAACGATATAGATTGTACTTGTGGTATGGTGGGTGTGAATGACTTTTCAGTTTATGTGTGGTAGATTGCAGCTGCTTAGTACACTGATATAAAGAATTGCAATAAAAGATGGTTGTATAGGTATGGATGGTTGTATAGATATGCATAATGGTTGGTTGGTTACTAGATAAGATAAAGATTAAGCAAGAGGGAAGTGGAGTCCTTTATTTATACTAATTCATGGGACACTGCCACACTGGATATTAATAGCGCTTGCTTATTAACACTGCTTGGCGCTTAGTAACAAAAGAGTTTTAAAAAGGCATCTAAGTGGTTAATAACGTAGTGTTCCTCGTATGACGTAGATCTTGCTTATTAAGACTGCTTGGCGTTAAAGACGGGGTTTAAAAATGGTTAAGAATGTAGTATTCTTTTATGACGTAGGTTTGTACATGTGTTTATGTATTCTTTTATGACGTAGGTTTGTACATGTGTTTATCCTCTTTGTTAAATAAAAAGGAATGTTGTAGAATAGCATAGAATAGCATCCGATCTACTACAATAATACCATGACTTTTAATAATAGATACCGGTGCATATTAGCGTCTAGGCAGTTAATACCGTATCTCAACGCTGACTAAATAGGCTATGTATGTCTATTCTTTTAAAAACCTGCAATAAGTCTACAAATTACCATTAACATCCATTTGTCGCTTCGTACTACGTACCTCAAAGCGCAATGGAAAGGCCGGGTTGCAGTATTACTGGTGGATCCATTGGTGTGTCCTCATCAGAGTACTGGTCCTCATCAACATTACCATGAAGTTTAATACCAAGAAATTTGTTCTGGAGTTGTGCCATTGTATTTCCATCCTCCACTAGCGCACCAACATCAACATATCCCATTGGTTGCTCAACGTCGTTCTCTGTTGTCGGATACTCGAATCCTTCGCGAAGCCAAGCTGTATGAATTGGTTCTGCAGAAATCTTCAACAAAGCAACCATCTTTTTCATGTTTAAGAGTAACAAAGATAACTTCAACTGCAAATTATATGTTTGTTTCTTATCCACCAACACAGGAGTACGGTTGTTGTGTTTCTCAAATGTGGAACCAAGGTCTGCAAACAGAGATTCCATCTGCGAGCGGAAACTACCAAAGGTGGTATTGTATAACGCTTCTTCCTGTGTAAGTTCCTTGTTCTTCTGTTTACGGTATGGATGAGCGAAATTTTGGACTTTAAGAGTATCAGACTCATCTATAAGCCTCCTTAAGAACTGTGGATACCCTCCATCGAGAGCAATGCAATCCATCTCATGCACTCTCTTGTCCAACTTCATCGTTAGCAGCATTGTTCCATCAGCATTGTTCTTGCAAGATGCAGATTTGGAGACAAATAAAGCCATGCCATTACAATCCATTGCTACCTGTGTGCGTAATCCTGACTTTTTCAGCTTGTAAGAGTACATATCAGCACTACTCTCACCTTTGTATGTTGCTCTTGTATCATGACCATCAAGATGCAATGTAACATGCTTAAATAATGGAGGATTCTTTTCCTTTGCAGACAAAAGGCGTATTTTAATTGTGGAGAACATTGTTGCAATACAGTTGGTGATGTACTTGTTGTGCAAAGTATATTCTTTCTTATAAAACACAGAGTGCATTGCATGAAAACTACTTTTTGGCATGTGTGGTTCCATTGCTTCCATAGACAGTCCTTTGACAAGATGGTAGAGCATTAAAAGACCTTTCTCCACTTCTTTGTATGGACCAGGATACTTAACCTTTGGCCAGATGTCAACAAGAAAGAAGTACACTGGAATAGGACCAAGGCGTCGATTTAGGGTTTCTTTTATTTCTGGCATATACCCAATTTCCTTGCTTACAGTACGATGATTATTACGTGGTGTAATTGTTGGCCATCCAGCGTTGAGGAAAGTCCAATGGTCATCAAGCAGTTGTTGGAAGTGTTTTGTTAGATCCATAATAATATTTATGTATTGGATTGTCATGACGTTAACCAACAATAACAATTTTTTAAAAAGGCTTATACTTAACTGTATACACAACAGCATGTATGATGGTATCTATCATACAGCAAGCACATAGTTGAGAATACAAATATATTTTTATATTTTTTTCGGTAGCGGCCCCTTCATGTGCAGAGGATATAAAAAGGCATATAAAAAATATCCAAAGTCCAAGGAACGGAGTGTTGACTTCCATAACTGGCATATCTCTTCATAGTGGGCAACAGAACACAGAATAAAATAGCAATAGACAGCACAAGAATTTTTAAAATGTAATCTCTCCCCTGTATTTCACGACAAAGATACAGTTGGGAATACAAGTGCTTTAGATGATCACATACAAGAACTACTCTGTCGAATCTTGCAGTGAGGGTTACAGGTTAATAGTAGATGGACATATTCAAGAGTTTGGTGTGCGAAAAATAAGAAGACTTTGTTGTTTGGAGAATAGGTTGGTGTTTAGTAGGATAGTTAAACAAAAAATGTTACAATGGTTGTCTTATATGCTTGGTATCATATATACATTCTCCTCTAATGGACGCGGTGGATATCGTCAAGATCTGCAGAGATGTAACAAACACCATATGATAATTTGGACTTGAAAGGCCTCCTATGGGCGAGAATTTTTTCTACCTCGTAAGTCACTGTTTCTTCGTAGTCGTCGAGTACAAGCTTAAGCTGTGACGGTGCGAAATTGCGTCGTAGCAGCTCCCCAGTCCCATCTCTGAGAACATAAGAGCCACCAGTAGTGCGTTGAACAACAGTGTAAGGGCCTTCATATCTAGGTGATAGCTTGTCACCCTTGATTGGATCCAAAGACATTACCTTCGCTCCATCAGCGAACTCATTGTGCAGTACCGTTCGGTTAAAACGCTCAATCATTCGTCGTTGAGTTTCACGAGCCTTAGCTTCAACCCCTGGAAAGACAATTTGAGTCATGTACTCAAGTCTCTCCAAAAGTTTTTCATGAGAAGTAATAGCACCCTTTTCGTCCGAGAAATTGCTCAACCCATTGAATCGTCGAGCAAAAAATAGCGAGAACGGTGACGAGTTGTGCAGAGCGACGACCCTTGCATTCATGGCCAGCTGTGCCATGGGTACATGCATCGCCCAAGTTTCTTTTCTGTCGACGCATTCTTTGCGGATGATAGTACATGCTGTTTTAACATGATTCTCGGCGACTCCGTTTCCGCGAGGATGATAAGGTGTGACCAAACGGTGTTGTACACCCATGTTTGTAGTCATCTCTTTCATTATATCGCTAACGAACTCTCTGCCATTGTCTGATTGAAGGACACGCGGAAAACCAATTAAGGAGAAAAGTCTGAATAGCACTCTAGCTATGGTAAGTGTTGCCTTGTCAGGTATAGGTTCAAGGATCACAAATCGTGTACAGACATCAACCACAATTAGGAGAAACGCGTTTCCATTGCTTTGTACAGGGAAGGGACCAGCTAAATCTATAGCCATGTGTTCGCCTGGTAACTGAGCATGAACAGCAGTCATTGGATGGTATCCTTTGCGCGCGATATTTACTCGCTGGCATTCTCGGCAACGTTGAACGTACTCCAAACAATCCTTAGCCAAATGCGGCCAAGTTTTGTTCAGTCCATGAATGTGTTTCACCATAGCATTGGTCCCGAAGTGACCTAATGCATGGGTGTCGGCCAAGACCACTTTCCTTTCGGAGAGCGCTACCGTCTGGCGAGGAGTGGATGAATCTTGGATCAAATGAACGTAGCCATACACCTTAGTCGGGACTGATCCCTCCGTTCTACTCGTCCATAACTCCTGAGGAAACTGTCGAGACAAGGCATCTGGCAGCACGTTCAGTACTCCAGGGCGATAAACAACCTTGAATGTGTATTGAAAATTTTTACGCTAGTCACGCACAATCGAATTGATAAGACAAGAGAGGGATCTTTGTTAACAGCCCAGACACCTCCATTTATGTCGGTGTCTGGTCATATGACTAAATTACTGTCTCTAGCCTAATTACATTAGCTGACACCCCCGAGACAGGCAAATATGCGACATGTATGACCAGATAATCTCCTGCCATCCAGTGAGCATTGAGTTCATGTCCTTCTGCGTATGCATGTAGGTCAGAGCCCGATGGTCTGTAAAAAGCGTGAAATGGTTGCCCCACAAATAATAATGTAATTTTTTGAGAGCGAACACAATTCCGAGCAGTTCTTTTTGCGTAGCCGAATATCTCCGTTCTCGGTCCTGCAATGACCGGGCCACAAACGAGATATATCTAATATTCTTCGGGTCATCCTCACCACCAGGTAACTGATACAATACTGCTCCTACTCCAACATTCGATGCATCTGTGGCAACATAGAATGGCAAACTGAAATCAGGAAACGAGAGGATTGGGGCCCGTGTAAGAATATTCTTTAATGAATTAAAGCATCGTAACTGGAGCTCATTTAGTACAAATGGTCCAGCTATGTTGCGGAGAGCATCAAGCGGTGCCGCAACAGTGCTGATAAGAGGCATATACTCCCGGAAGAAGTTAAATGTTCCCATGTAAGATTGGACCTGCTTACCTGTGGTAGGAGGTTGCCAGTCATCAATGTTCACAAGCTTTCTCGGGTCAACACGTCTGCCTTTGGTATCAATAACAAAGCCCAGTAATGACACCTGCGTGCTGTAGAAGTTGCACTTATCAATATTTATAATAAGCTTGGCTTCAGTAAGTCGTTCAATGACTATCTTAACATGCTCGAAATGATCCTGACGATCCTTTGAAGCGATCAAAATATCATCGATGAAGTTCCGTACAAACTCCAGATCTCCCAGAATCCTGGACATGCCTCTTTGAAATAAACTTGAAAGAGGTTTAAGCCCAAACGGCGCCTTCTTGAACATGTATTGCACACCGTTGTGGGTGAATGCTGTCAAGGGCCTATCGTCCTCATGGATCGGCAGTCGATGATACGCCTGTCGTAGATCCACGGTCGAGAATACCG